ACATCTGTGCGATTAGGGTCCACATTTTCCTGTTCCAAGAGTAACCTGACCGCTGCTTCGTGTCCATTCCCCGCTGCCCATGAGAGGGGCGTACTGTGTGTACAATCTTGCTGGTTGATCTCGCAACTGTTCGTATTCATCAACGCGGCTACAAGCTCAACAATCCCGAAGAAAGACGCGCAGTGTAGTCCAGAGAAGAGGGTAGAAGTACCGACATCTCCGATATAGCTAGAAGGACATACTTGCCCCAAAAGTGATAAAGCGGAGACATGGACTTCGTACCGGGTCAAGAGTTCTAGTGCAAGGGTCCTCGCGTGGTCTGAGAGTTCCCTGTTCGCATGTATTCCCCAATATCGCGAAGAATATTGGAGAAATGGTGCTCTTTCGTGGTCTGAGAGAAGGGGGCTCCTGACCTGTTGTGAGTTTAGATAGCTCAAGCAGGCCTCCGCAATCATCGAGTGAGGTTTGCTGAAGAGGTCCGGTTGAGTACAAAGGTACTCTTGGACGGTAAAGTGGATTAATCGCACGGTCGAAGCTTCTTTATCGACCGTGATCAGGCCTTGACAGCAGGCTAGTAATGTAGCTATCGGAGGAACATTTTCGGTATCGAAATCTGTTGCCCCTATCTCCACCGCTAGGGCATGACACAGCTCATCCACCCGTAGTGGCCGTTCCGTATAGCAGATCCATGTGAGAGTGGCCATCGCGGTTTTGGTCTTTTCCACGTCCTGAGCCTTTATCCGCTCCAGTGTCGCACCATATATATCCCCTAACCCTTTCACGTCTTTCATTGACTTGAGCCTTTTTCCTCGCCGGGGAATACTGGTTTCTCGTAATATTGCTTCGATATGGAAAGAAGCCAGTAGGAATCTAGATTCGAATATGTCAGCCATTAACCTAAGGTAGTGTTGCGCTTTCTCCCGTTCCTACATACGTTTCCGAGCTTATTTCGGGAATACTCTTCATAATACTAGCCTCTAAAACGTTGTTCATTATCTCTGGGGTAGTGTCATTTCGGAGTTTCTCGTGTAGATATCTAACGATACCATCTTCCATAGGCTGCACTAATATAAAACTTGCTGCTCTATCCAATTTCCTCTTAACCTCACCCCGGACATGTGCTCTTCCGGTCATGAATATGCGGGTATCCGCCGACCCTCGGAGGATCTGCTCTAATGATTCGAGAACCACTATTCGATGCTCCGGCGCACATTCGTCAAGAGCGTCAACACATATGTAGGTGCGCTTTGTAGCAGTGATGGTCTGCAGCATCCTCAAAAGTCCGGAGATTTGCAGACCACTATCCCCGATCACCTTTTTCTGGTCTCGAAAGCCCTGGACCACCGGCTCTGGAATTTCTTCCAATCCGCTAACGAGCTGTCTTAGCAGGGAGCCGAGCATATTGATTGGTGACTGCTCATTCCGGGAGGCGAAGTCGAAGTAGAAGCAGGCAAGAGCAGTATTTTCCTTCTCCGCCTCGTCGCATAACTTGTCTATCACTAGGGAACTGCCATCGCAACTTGTTAACAATACCACCCTTTGACTTCGCGCAAAGGCGAACTCTCACTTACATGATAAAGCTCTTTCCCACTCCCGGATTGCCGGCGCAGAACAAGGCGGCATAATTGGATCCATCCTCCCTGCTGTCGTTATGCCAGCGTCTGAATTCCTTGGTTTCCAGCACCCAGCTCCCTATACTGTCTATTCGTTGGGCTGCGATGTCTCGATGCCGTGCCCATGGTTCTAATGGGGACAGCCACTCAAGTACCTTCGACCCATCCTCAAGGGAAATGCGGTTAGAGCTATTTGAGATGGTGCTACAATTATCGTTATCACTAAAGACTTGAGACATTTTCGATCTTTGGGAGTTTTGAATGCTGTCGAGAGCGAGGTTGTGACCAACTTGTGATGGTTTAGGCGTTTACTTGAAGTTGAGGAAAAGCGGGGTTGATCGCAAAGCCCAGCGTTTAATTGGTTGTGGTCCAATGACTGGATCCGGAATAAGTGACACAAGCGCTCCAAGGCTTTGTGTGCCACCTCAAATGAAGGGTCCATTCCAGCATCCGAGAGCGGCAGAAGTACCTATTGCACTAGACCATAAATAATCTAGGCAACTTTGACGAATGAAAAATGTTCATAAAGGTAGAGTCATATCTTGGAGTCAGGCTATCTTTTCATTAATGAACATCGGCTACTGTGCCTACTAGTAAATCTGATGCTCTAGAATAATCCTACTTGCTGGTGAAACTATTTCTCTGGCCACTATTCTTGATATGGCTATGTTATCATACTCTGTGGTTTTGAGCTACTGGTGCCTTTTATAAGAGATAACGGACTTGGTGGGTAGAGTGGGGGGGGGAGTAAAGATCCGGAAGGGGTTCAATGGAATGGGGGGTATGATTCTGGGGTGGATGGGCAAATATTTTTCTGGTTTATGCTGGAAATGGTTCCGTCTCTGAATCTAGGGGTTTAGAGGCGATTTATTTTTCAGGTTGGCTTTGGGAACGCCTAGGTCAGGATCTCCGCTATCGGGGAAAACAGTCTACCTGTACTAGAGTATGCGCGGTTTGTATATCTATCCATCTATCCATCTTTCTATCCTCCTATCGCTAGCCGGGGGAAACAAGGGGGAAAGTGACACAAAACAGGGAGTAGAATCAAAAAAGGAGATTTCATAACAAGCAATCTATTCGACTTGGAAACGGTAATCAGAATAAAGAGAGCAGGTCAACAAATAAAGGTCCGGCTACTGCTATACTTTAAACACAATGAACCAAAGCTCGCAGGGCTACACTCATAAAGGAGAACAAATATCTGGATACTGCAGAGGGTATATGTCTACATACAAGTGGGATTTCCGCGAATGACAAAGGGGAGAATTGCGTAATTATGTAAATTATCTTAAAGGTACTAGTGCAATAGCCCTTACCTTATCTAGGAGGCAACCATGATTGCTCGGTTCAAAAATTGTCTCCAGAGATGATTTTTCAAACCCTGGGTTTTGGCTTACCAACCCAAGTTTTGAACTCACAAGCACCCATGGTTTAGTGCCTTGCCGAACAGCAGAACTAATTCCAAAACAGGTGGATCAGTCAAAACTGGAGGTTTCTACCCTCCAACCCTGGGTTTAAGCACCCCCCGAACAGGCCCTAAATTTCATCTAAACCCTAAAATATTCCCTGATTGTACTAGCACGGCCGATAGATAAGACAGTCACATGTCTTTCACGCAACAAGTAAACACCAGATTTCATCTTATCAAACACACGCGACTATTCGAGTACAATCTTTCCCTACGTTGCGAGCACCCGGCGAAGCGAGCAGGTGGTCTAGGTGATACCAGATCTAGAGCAAGTGCGGAGAGCTAGGACAGAAGAAACTATTAGTGTATGAGCCAATAAAGACTAGTACACAAATGTAAACAACAGAAAAAAATTACGCAATGATGGCGATAGTATATCTGTATATTATATACTACAATTAGAATATCATAGGAAATATTGTGCAACACTTTACCTCCGTCAAGACCTCTGTCAAGTCATGTCTTCAAAACCATACTCCACCGAGCCTACAATGCCCTATGAGGACCGCATCATACTTGCTACTGAGCAGTACTATGATGAGTATGAAGCATTTCGCAAGTCAGAAAAAGACCCTCGATTCCGACCTCTAGCCCCGATTATAAGCCAAATTGCAGATACCTATTCTGTAGCATGAGCAACCTTAGGGCACCGCATTCACGGACGGCTATCAAGAGAGGAAGCGGCCCAAAAGAGACTTAAAATGACAGAAGGAGAGGAAGAGGCTATTGAAGATTGGTGTTTAACGGTAGCCTCTTGGTGTATGCCACTACAGGTCGGCATTTTACACAAGATGGCAGAACAGCTCCTCCGAACCAGATTAGGCATTAGAGATATCAGTTCAAGTTTATCTCAAAACTCCAGCTTTAGTGTACAGCCACGACCACACATTGGAGTTGATTCCGAAATAGCATTAGGAAAAAATTGGGCCAAAGATTTCATCAACCGACATCCAAAATTGCAAACTGCGTGGAGCAAGCAATTTGATTTTAAGAGAGCTGCATGTTCCTATAACTTTGAAAATATATATGCCTACTTTTCATTAGTATATCTCTATTAATAATCCTAAAGCTTTAATTACAAGCTAATAATGAGACTAACAGCTTACTGAAACCATTTATCGAAATCGTATTGACCGAGAAAACCTCTATAACATGGATGAAATTGGGTTTCTTCTCGGCTTTTGTCATTCTGAAAAGGTTGTTGTTGGAACCCGGGAGTTAAGAATAAATGGAGCTTTAAGGGCTCAAGGTATGTTATAGATTGTATTTTTTATACTTATATTTAGTCTGCAGTTTTTAGAAAATAAAATAGAGCTAATAAGAGTAAAGATGGCTCCCGAGAGCTCATCACAGTCCTAGATGGAGCCTGTGCAGACGGAACTTCATTGAGCCCAATGATTGTTTTTTTTTTTAAGACTGAAGAGTTACGAGAAGGTTATTTTATTAATGGAGAGGAGATTTCATCCAATGTAATGGTTGGAAAAAGTAATAATGGATGGACCAATTCTGAATTGGCGCTAGGATGGCTGGAGCGGAACTTTGGATTCCAAAGTTTCTCAGCAGTAAAGGCTAAAGAGAAATGGCGAATGCTAACATTGGATGGACATTCAACGCATTTGACCTGGGAGTTTCTGCTCTGGGGAATCAAACATCATATTATTATCTTCTGTTTACCTCCGCATACAACTAGTATTCTACAGCCAATGGATGTTGGATTATTTGGACCAATGAAGCACTATTATACAGCCCTTGTTCAGGAACAACAACAGCGCCCAGGACGGAGAGCTGGAATCCAAAAAGGAGATTTCTATTCTCTTTTTTCTAAGGCTCGTACTTCAGCTTTTACTGAATGCAACATTCAAAAGGCTTTTGCTACTTGTGGGATGTGGCGATTGGATCGACATCGAGTATTAAAAAAAATGCCTGCCTTTGACTCTACCAAAGATCCAGAGATAGATGCTATGTACCCAGAGCCAATATTATCTTTATCTCGAAAAGATTACGGTAAATTACTTACTACTCAAAAAACTTAAGCGTTATATATTTAACTTACATTAGAACTCTCAGAAATACTAGTACCACAAAGCGAATTGGCTTCAATTCCCTTAACCCCTACGAGACAAATACAATATAAGCATCAATCAATTCCAAATTCTCCTCGATCTCTTAGTACTTTAGGTACATGAATCGAATATCAACTAAAGTCTATTCCAATTCCAAAATCCCCGCATGCCGAACGAAACTATTACAATCTTCGTAAAGATACAAAGCTTCTTCTTTCAGCTGCCCAAAAGCAATACTCCACGGCCCAACTTGCGCATGAAGTCCAACAACAGGCAAAGATTGAGAAACAAAATCAAAAGCGAAAGAGAAAAGCCAATACTGGTCGTACTATTCCAATGGGTGGAAGGGCTTTTCTTAATGGAGGAGAAATCAAGCATATTATCCATGAGAGCAACCAACGGACAGAAACAGAACTCCGCAGTCAACTAGAACGATTAGAAAAATTGAAAAAAAGCCAATTAGCAAAAATCGAAAGTCTCGAAACTCGAATCATGAAAGCTAAGTTACCAGAGAGTAAGCAGCAAAACCATACTGGCCAGGAACGTGAACGGCAGAACCAGCGCAAATCCAAAACCATTTCTGAAGGCCGAAGGCCTAAAGTCTTCAAGCTTGCGACTCAGCTTGCCAACGAGCATATATGCGAAACCGCCAAACTACCAGAAATGATCCACAAAATTGAGCTTAAGCAGACTGAGCTTAAAAACTTTGTTTCCTCTCAAAGCCCAGAAACAGAGCAGACCGATCAAGCTGTTTTTCCTGGTTCGGAAAGTGATCCTACTCCTGATGACCTAGGTATCAGTGATAATTCCGAGGATACCGAGTAAGCTCACTCCTCAATTACTTAAGAAATATTATTCTAATAGAAAGAATTTAGGTAAATCCAGGTACAGTTGCATCCTGTTCTCCCAGACCTCGCTCTCCCAGATTCTTTGTTGTCCCAGATGAATTTCTATGAATTATATATTTCTTTATACTAAAACCGAACCTGTTGTCCTAGATAACTCGCTGTCCTGAACGGATTCTTAGGATTTTGGCCATCGGGGACAACGGAGTGTGACTGTACGGAGGTACAGCCCCTAAGTTTTGTATATTACACTAGCAGGGGATATTGAGTTAGCAGGGATAGATATCCCAAAGTGGATATTGTGGCGTTGAGGATACTTAGATAAAGGTGAAGACTTTGTGAAAATTTTTTCCGTCCATCCAAATCCACAAAAATGTCAAGTGCAAATATCCAGAACTTGAAATCCTCCCATCTTACCCGTGATCAAAGACGAGATTGCCAGCTTCTGCGTTCTATTGGTTGGAAATACGCACAAATCCAAGAAAAAACCAGATATTCCTGGCACCAAATTCAGTATGCGTGCACTTCCCCTGCTACGCCGTCAAAAAGACCCGGTCGTCCTCCCATCCTCACTCAAGCTCAAATAGAAGAGCTTATCGAGTACGTTTGCATGTCTTCTCGGAACCGTCGTCTGTCCTTTCATCAACTTGCTACCGAGCGCGAGTTTGGTGTCAGTAAGAAGGCTATCCGAGCAGCGTTGATCAAGGAAGGGTTCCATCGACGACTAGTGATGAGAAAGCCTCCTATTACAGAACGAAATCATGGGATAAGATTACAGTGGGCTTTAGAGCATGTAACTTGGACGATGGAGCAGTGGTATGAGATTCTATGGACAGATGAAACCTGGATAACAGGTGGAAGACATACCCGAACTTGGGTGACAAGACCGGCTGGGGAGGAATGGGACCCAACATGTATTGTAGAAAAGCATCTCAGAAAGAAGGGGTGGATGTTTTGGGGCTGCTTCTATGGGGATACACAAGGTCTAGGAATCTTTTGGGAGAAGGACTGGGGGACGATAAATTCTGAAAGCTATCATGCGCATACTGTTCCTGTAATTCATGGGTACATGGAATTATGTCGACGCGATGGGATTCAGTTAAAGCTCATGCAAGATGGAGCACCCGGTCATTCAGCAGCAGATACAGCAACCGACCTACGAGAAAGAGGAATTGAGGTCATTTACTGGCCTCCATTTTCTCCAGATTTAAACCCGATCGAAAGGATATGGCACATCATGAAAAATTATCTTCAAGATAATTTTCCGGAGACCATGACCTACGACAGGCTTCGAGAGGCAGTTAAGCAAGCTTGGGACAGAGTTGGGCATCATGAATTTAGGGAACTGATAGGAAGTATGCCTGCAAGATGCCAGGCAGTTATCGATGCAAATGGGCTTTTTACACAATATTAAACATGTATTATACTGAGTTTTGAAAGATAAAATAATTTACAGGCTCCGGGGGAGGTATCTTCAAGACCTCATTGTACTCCAAGACCGATTTCTATCTACTATACCCCATTTGTCAACCCTACCCCCTGCTTGCCCAACACCCCCTGCTAGCCGAATATACAAAACTTAGGGGCTGTACCTCCGTACATACTTGCATGGTTACAGTTTCAGTCTTTCCTTTTATTTTACTTTTTTCCACTTTTTTCTTTTATTGTTTGGTATTGTGGGTGGGAAAAATGTATCTGAAATAGGGACTTTGTGAAAAGACTCTGATGTGAATCAAACTGGGTTCTTAGCCGATGAGATCGCTAGGATTTGACTCTGGATGCGAAATTGTAAAGTCTCTATTTTGTGGTCATTGAAACTGGTATGGTTGCTAGAAAGGTCTGTAGCCTGAGCTTAGTGTAACTTTTCAAACCCAACACAGTTAAGAGCTACCCTCCTGCTCGCTTCACCGGGTGCTCGCAACGTAGGGAAAGATTGTACCGGTATTTATCTATCGGTCACCCCCATGGGCAGGTGCGTCAATGTGATTATTTTGTGGCATTGTGTGGCGCTGGGTGGCTAAAGTGGTGAGGTACTCAGGTACTCGTACAGTAATTTACAGTACCGGTACTTGTACGTAGACTAGCAGGGGGGTCGTTAAATTACTGAACTTGAATCAAAACGCAAGTTACCGGTAAATTACTCGTACAGGACCATATCTGCCATAAATCAGAGCTTGGCCTTCTCACCCTTACCAGGATAATACCAGCCATTCCATCACGTCCCTTTCGAATCCCTAACTTCCTCACTTTACCCGCCATGTATGTTACTTCTTACATGAGGGCTCCCGTAGCTCAAAGCCGCAAGGCACAGGATGACTAAAGTGGGGCTATTCAAGGCCACCGGTTGTACTACACCGGTTGTGCTAGTACCGGTAGGCATGGTAGACAATGCTGATTAGCGAAAAGATCCCCCCGTCACTAGGAAGAGGGTTTGCCTTTAAGAACGGTTTTAATACGTTATTTGTTAGGGTTAATTAACTGTGCCAAGGTTATGGTCAAGTGCGTTCCTTCCACGGCTTGCGGAGGGGCAACAGACACCGCATTTACATGTCGGACACAATCTTGGAGCCCTTGTGTAACTGATTTCGGGTCTAGTGGCTGGATCATGGTCAATTAGGCGCAAGGCTCTACGATCAACCCCGCTTTTCCTCAACCCCGAGCAATCGCCTTAGCGACCCCAAGTTAGACAACACCTCGCTCTCGACAGCACTAAAAACCACGGAAGATCAAAAATGTCTCAAGTCTTGAGTAATATCGACCACTCGGTCGTTATCTCCAATAGCTTTAACCGCACTACCGCAGACGATGAGGCGAAAATACTGGCGTGGCTTTCTCCATTGGAGCCATGGGTACGGCATCGAGATATCGGATCCCAAAGGATAGATAGCGTGGGAAGCTGGGTGCTGGAAACCAAGGAATTCAGGTGGTGGCATAGCAGCAGTAGGGAGGATGGACCAAATCATGCGGCCCTGTTCTGCGCCGGGAATCCGGGAGTGGGAAAGAGCTTTATCATGTAAGAGAGTGTGTATCTTCCCGGGAATCAGAGAGCAGTATTATTAACAAGTTACAATGACAGTTCCCTAGTTATAGACAAGTTATGCGACGAGGCTGTGAGGGAAAATTTTGCTGTTGCCTGCTTTTACTTCGACTTTGCCTCCCGGAACGAGCAGTCACCAATCAATATGCTCGGCTCTCTCCTCAGACAGCTTGTTAGTGGATTGGAAGAAATTCCGGAGCCGGTAGTGCAGAGTTTCCGAAACCAGAAAAAGGTGATTGGGGGTAGAGGACTGCAAGTTTCCGCCATTTTGGGGATGTTGCAGACTCTCACAGCGGCAAAGCGCACGTTCATATGTGTTGACGCTCTCGACGAATGTCTGCCAGAGTATCGAATGGTGGTTTTTGAATCATTAGGGCAGATTCTCCGGGGGTCACCGGATGCCCGCATATTCATGACTGGAAGAGCGCATGTCCGGGGCGAGGTCGAGAGGAAGTTGGATGGAGCGGCAAGTTTCATATTAGTGCAACCTACGGAGGATGGTATCGTTAGATATCTGCGCGAGAAACTCCGGAAAGACACCACCCCGGAGCTAATGAACGGCGTATTGGAGGCTAGTATTATGAAGAGCATTCCCGATATAAGTTCTGAAACGTATGTAAGAATGAGGGCAAACGCAACACTACCCTAGGTTAATGGCTGACATTTGAATCTAGATTCCTACTGGCTACTTTCCATATCGAGGCGATCCTACGAGAAACCACAATTGCTCGGCGAGGAAAAAGGCTCAAGTCAATGAAAGATGTGAAGGGACTAGGGGATATCTATGGTGCGACGCTAGAGCGGATAAAAGCTCAGGACGTGGAAAAGAGTAAGATCGCGATGGCCACTCTCACATGGATCTGCCATTCGGAACGGCCATTACAGGTGGATGAGCTGTGCCATGCACTAGCGGTGGAGATGGGGGCAACGGATTTCGATACCGAAAATATTCCTCCGATAGCTACATTGCTGGGATGCTGTCAGGGCCTGATCACGGTCGATAAGGAAGCTTCGACTGTACGATTAATCCACTTTACCGCCCAAGATTATCTTCGTACTCAACCAGACCTCTTCAGTAAACCTCACTCAGTGATTGCGGAGGCTTGCCTGACTTATCTAAACTCACAGCGGGCCAAGAGCTTCTCGTCCCACATTATCATGGACCACCGAAGCGCGCCATTTCTCCAGTATTCTTCGCGGTATTGGGGACTTCACGCGAACAGAGAGCCCTCAGATTACGCGAGGACCCTTGCACTGGAGCTCTTGAACCAGTACGAATGTCACCCATCCGCTGCATCACTTTTGAAGCAAGTCCTCCCTCCCAGTTATACCGAAGGCACCGCCACCTCAACGCTCTTCTCCGGACTGCACTGCGCGGCTTTCTTCGGCATTGATGAACTTGTGACAACATTGATGAGTGCGGAAGGTTGCGATCTTAACCAGCAAGATTGCGCAGGGGGTACACCACTCTCATGGGCAGCGGGGCAGGGACACAAAGGAGTGGTCAAGTTGCTGCTAGAGAGGGAAAATGTGGACCCCAATCGCGCAAATGAGAAAGGCCGAACACCGCTCGGGTGTGCTGCTATCGAGGGACATGAAGGAGTGGTGAAATTGCTCCTAAGCCGGGAAGGTGTTGACCCCGACAGGCCGGATAGTGGGGACAATACGCCACTCTCGTGGGCAGCAGAAAATGGGCATGAAGAGGTTGTGGGGCTATTACTAGACCGGAAAGGCGTTGACCCCAATCGGCTAGATG